ATTATGTTTTAAAATCAATGTTCACTCTCTCTTCACTCACTCACTCTTTTTTTTTCTCTCTCTCTCTCGTTCGAAGGCTGGCTAGTTGAGATGTTACTTGCTTGACAAGAGGCACGTAGCTTCTGTATACAATTACCACACTTTTCTTTCCCAATTATTTTACGAACAGTCAAGGTCCACCAATTTGACACGTTTCTTGACCGGCTTTGTGATGCGTAATCCTCCTCCATTAATGCTGAGTTTAATATCATCATTCACACCAGCGTTTATTATTCAGCCGTGGAATAGTTGTAACATTATGCGGCTGTCAAATGTTGTGTTGCACCTGTCTGGGGATTACCCATTATCCTTTGCATGTGAGAAAGTGACACTGATGACTGAAGTTTTGAGATATTCATTTAGTGTTTAATCTGACAGCCATGACAGCTGATCCCGGAGCTAGTCACTGACGAAAGCTAGGCCTCTGCCTGAAATCTTTCTCCTTTTCCCCCATTATGCCTCCGAATACAAAGTGGTTGCTATGAGTTCAAGTGAACGGGCTATAGCAGCAAGTGAAGGGTACTCCAGGTAGATTTGCATAAGATCTATGTAAAGAAGCTATCAGGCTATAGCAGTATTTAGACAGCTTGTTTTATTAAGCAGGTTGTATGGTTCAAGCTGTAATGTAATTTAAGTAAAAGAAAAAGACTTTTTAAAAAAAATCAATAAAGACTGAGTTGCATTTTAGACTTCCACCCATTTAGAGAATCCATTCATCCAGTTAATTAACTTAGATCTGCCGCTCAGAACTCCACACAAGCCTTTAGATGTGAAAGTTATGGGGACAGTTTTCCTCTTTAAATAGCACTGATGCCACTTATCGCAGAAATAGAATACAAATGCTTTGTGCATTTACAAACGGGAGAAGGCAGTGAGGAAACGCTGTTCTCCCAGGCTGGCATCTATTTTTATTTAGGAGGTGTAGAGGAATACAGCTTCAGCTTGACTTTGGCTGTCACACGCCAGCAATGGGGATAATGGACACAAAGCAGCACCAGGGTAACTGCACTGTAACTTCTACTTATTGCTATGCTGAGCTCCCAATCTTTAGGTATTGAAAATATCTTCCTGGACTCTGATGGGGAAAGGATGGGAAGAATCCCTAATACAGTTTCTGTATAACCCTCTTATTTGGCTGGAAACTTTCAGTCCTTCTGAATGGATTAGAAAAATCTCAATTCTTCTTGCGCAGGAGCTCCAAGGGCCTATTGTGTATTTGTTCCTCCAACAAGAAACAGCCAGTTACTGCAGCAAAATGGGTTTATCTTGACGCTATGAAAAGGCAGTTTCAGTTATGTAATGTCCGTCGGCTGGGAATTGGCTCGTCCCATGGGGGAAGATGGGGGCAGGGGATTGGCGGTCTGTTAACTCTGAAATAACGTTTACGAGAATGTATTTAATATCCTGTGTTTTATCTGGTGAACCTGTGCAGTGGTTTCAGTACAACACCTGCTGGGCACTATAGTCTACCTGGAAAAGCAAACCTTTGGGCTGAGATCCAAAAATTTAGAACCATAGAAATTTATAGCACAGAAAAATCATGTCACAGCCATCATGTTTGTGATGACTTTTAAAAAGCCTTCCTTTCAGCCCCGTTACCCTGCCCTTTCCTCATACCTCTGTCATTTACTATCTTTTAAATTTTTATTTAATTTCTGGAGTTTTACAGGTCGATCTTCAGGTTGTCTAGATTTGAATATGTCACAATAGTTTTTTGAAATTCCGTAAGATTACACATTAGGATTGAAACCAGAATAGATGATTTCAGATGCAAGGAAATTTCCATATGTAAGTAGTATACATATGTGGAACTCTTAGTCTGATTCGGATCCTTTTAAGCTTGGCGATGGGCTTCCGCTTGTGTCAAACAGTGTCCATAACCTGCCTCAGCATGGAATCGAGCTGGGAAAGTACAAGCTCTTTGTATACTTTACCGCTTAAAATTACAAAAAGTTTTCAAACAATGTACACTCTGGTAAACTGGATTTGTTTTCATGTTTGGTATCTTACTTTCTACTGGTGGGGGGAGTAAAAACCACAAGGGCTAATACTCAATTGGCTTTACAAAACTGAAAGCTGCTTAAAATCTAAAAAATTCAAATAACAATGGTAAATAAGCAAATTCTGCAGTTTCAGACTCCCTTAAAATTTAGTATCAGTTTAAACTCCATCTCGAGCTCATTGCTGGGGATAGCATTTGCATTGACAACTTCCGGGATGGTGGTCAGAGTAGACTTGTGTTCCAAGTAGCTTTGTTTGAGCTTTTGTGCAGAGGATTGTAGGTCACATGGGAAAATGAGAACCATGGCAGATCTGGGCTTTTGGCCAAAACCACGTTACTTTGTTTTTGTGTAAGAACCACAATATGTTTTGCTCAAAGCCATCAAGAATTTAGCTGATGGTTTGAGCAGTATATCTGAGATCTGACATGAAGCAATCATTCAGATAATGGGAGAAATATGAAGTCGACAATAAGACTGGGTAGAAATTAGAAATGCCCATCGTTAAAATTAATTGTCATAAGGATGTAGGTGTTTACGAAATAGTCTGTACTACACTTTACTGTAAATCCTGTGAAGTGCTTTGAGATGTCTTCCTGTCTTGAAAGGCGATATGTCAAATGAAGGATTTTTTTTATTATGTGTCAAAACTTACTAAACAATTAAGGTTGGAAATTTGACTTAAAAAGGAAGCCTCATCATTCCTTTCAATCTGTAGGCTGACAGGATATTGATGGGAGGGAAATTCCACAATCCCTAGCCTTGACTTTCTTTTCAAAAGTATTCAACTTGTATCCTGTGACACGGAAACAGACATTAATATTATAATAACAAAGTTGCTCAATGTCAGGAGTAACTATTACCGTAATAGCAATCTTGTGCAATTTAGAAACATTTTAATAATTATTATAGCATACTTTTACTTTAACTCTATTCATTATTCATTATTTTTTAAAAAAAGTTTGAAATTGTATGAATCCATCTTTGTTTCTATACTTTCTTTGTCCCATCATTTATTTTGAAGGTGGAATAACATCCACATAAATTGGCTGAGATCATCCCCAAAGTCTATTCGCTTTAGGCAACCAAGTGCCGTAAATGTAAAGATTGACCCGATCACATCAGCTCACCAGATATGCCAAAAGGGACCCATGTTTCAATGCCTCCGTACTATTTTAAAGGGTCTACAGTGTGCATTGCTGCTCACTGATCTGAGTACTCATTGGCTTCAAGAAAATCATTCCATTTCTGGACCATCAAGTCTTGATGGATTTTCCCTGAAGTCAAATTCACAACCTGTACACCAGGTTTCTCAAATAGAGATGTTGCAGTAGTTTCTCATTGACACTGATTTTCATGAGCGTTGACACAGTTGGCAGAGTGATACAGGAATGGAGCTATTTGGGCCCTCTGTGATTGTTTTTTGGATAGGTGTGATGTTTCCTGCTTCCCATTTCGCTACTGCCAGTAGACAGAAAGAGTTGAAATAAGATGCGGCAAGGGAGTAAGGAGTTCATCAAATAGGGCTTTGATTGCCCAAGTATCTCTTTTATAACTTTCTGTGCTGAAGTAATACAGTACAACACGCTCAATCGGTTATCTGAACTTTCTATTTATCTCAATGGGGATGCCTCCCGACTTATTTGGGTAAACAGCATTATTTCTTTGAGGTGTGTGTGTGTGTGACAGAGAGAGAAATTCTGTTCCATGCATTTCTTGAGAATTATCGACGTGAGCTAAAAAGTGTTGTACTCCATTTGGTACGTTTAATGACCATGTCTCTATGAGATTAGGAACAAAGTTAATAGAAATTACAAATAGCGTCATATTGGAAATGCCAATCTTACTAAATGGTGCAGATTAGTACATAGCGAATCAACGTATACCTTACTCCCCCCACCACTCCCAGCAGTTTGTTTTATTAATAGATTCCTACAGTTTAGTGAATTTCAACTGAAGTGCTTGAAGGTGTTTGAGCCAAACCGTATGCCATCTGTCATCATTGTCAATTTTGTTTGTTGACTGGCTTAGTTTTGTTATCTTCAGTGGTTTAATAATAGCAGCTCGATAAAACTCCTCTGTTTGTGGTTTGGCAATCCCTCCTACAAGCAAATTCAGCGGTGTTTGCAGTTTAAAGAGTTTCCGTTAGAAGACAACAGCGCACGTTGAGAGTTTGCTTGTGGTCTCCTCATCCCAGCAGCTCAAACCACTGTAAATTTGACTCTAACCAGTTTGATGTTCTATTTCCTAAACTGTGGGGTGGACCGATGTGCTGGTAATGGAGGTCAGAGCTGTTGTTAAGTAGAAACACATTGAAATGGAAACATGACTGAGTGGAAGGGATTAACATCTGGATGCAGAGCGTAATTAAGTACAAATTACACAGATTACACTTATATTGTGCCAATACATTCACTTTTTGATACCTTGCCATAGCATTGTACTGGGATACCTTCCAATTTCATTAGTGAAGGATTCCCTAAATGCATTTCTGAGATTAGAAAAGTATATATTTAAGATTTTGCCGACAATTTGTATCAATAAAGTTTTCCCAACTCCCTCCCCCAACATCTCTGAAGCATTTCAAATTACTTAAACATATTTTTGTCTACAAGATATAAATATACAATGAATGGTCACTCAATCCACGACTGTTGTGCGCAATTGGCTGCTGTGTTTCGCCCACAAAATATACAGTAAATTCACTTTGCAATATATTACATTACAGTATAATAATCCTTATATTTGATATAACATATTTCATGCCAGGAGGGTATATCAAAGCCCTTACAAGATTTACTGCAAAGTGTTGTGACTACTACATGAAAGGCGCTATATTGAATGCAAGGATTATTATTTATTTTATTATTTGTCACTGAGTGTGGTAACATCCAAAGAAGGTCATTTGATCTCAATAATAGAACGGAGGTCCTCTTTTCAGTTGCATGCTTTGTTTTACAGGAACAAGTGATCCTTATGTCAAGTTCAAACTGGCTGGGAAAACATTGTTCAAGAGTAGGATCATATACAAAAACCTGAACCCTCGATGGGATGAGACTTTCACAGTTCCAGTAAGGAACTTGAATCAAAAGCTTTACATCAAGGTAAGACACTCTGCATCAAAATGTACAGCGATTGACTAGGAAAGCTGTGACGTAATGATATCTGTCTGATACGCAACTCCTCTTAAGATTACATTTTAACACAACAAACATTTTTCTCCCAAAGTGGTTTAGTTTTCATTTTGGTAAATTTTTCAGCGACTTTTGTTTGCAGCTGATAGAAGCGTCAGGGCACTCACAATAGTGGTTAGCTCTTACCTCGGCACTTCAGGTTTGAATTCAGTTGAAATGGCAGGGATGAAGCTCTGTTACTCACAGTGATGGACTGCGAGCACAATGAATGCAGGCAGGCTGAATTGAGCTCCCAGTGGACAAAGGTCCACAGTGTTTAACTGGCTGAAGTTGGCACTAATTGACACTGATTTCAGCAGCCTTGCTTTGAGAGGTCAGGAGAGCAGGAATATGGGGAGTGGAAATACCAACCGACTGCAGTATCTGGTTCTCTTCTGGGGTTGCAGGTGCCCTGTAAGGGCAATTTAGAGGAAGCCCTGACCTGCATGCAAACTATACCATAACTGACCTTGTGAATGCTTGATTGAAACATAGGATCTGGACTGTGCACAGAATCATAGCTCGCTTTCTGAAGGAAGAAAGACAGGCTAACTAAACATCGATCCATTAATTGCTGATTGGTAGATTAACCTATCTAGGGTGACAATAGAGGTTATGCACAATCAAAAGTGAGTTGTCGCTTACTCTTTCTGTCTGCCTGACTTTGGCTGACAGCGTAATAGTTGAATGAGCACATAAATTCATTTTTAAAAAAAATGAAGTGTAGCTTCAGGTAGATGACATCTAGTGTGTCATTGACCTTCAGGTCAGCCTTGCATGATTGGGGAGTGATAGCCTGCTGCCCACCCCCCCACCCACCATGTGACAAAATATTTAAATGAAAAAGTTGGAACCAATGTGAAGGCCAAGATAGAATGTAAATGGTCTTGGAATGTAAACGTATTTAGTTAAACAGAACATAGTTCACAGTGAAACTAATTGGAGAAAATTCAGGATTTGGTGCTGTAACATGGGAAGTGCTGTGCTCAGTTTGTGGAATTTTTTTTTCTCCTCCAATCCTCTTCCCTTTCTCCCACCAATAAGTTTAAATTCATACAATTTCCATTGTTGCATGCAGAATGATCAGCCAGTAGACATCTCCAAGGACTTGCATTGCCATCTATTCTCTATCCCAAAGTCCCTCTACCTGGCCTCCTCCCTTGCCTCCTTCAAGATCCTTCTCAAGAGCCCCCTCTTCGACTGTGCCTTCGGTCACCATCCTACCCTGACCTTCACCGCCCTCCACCCCTCCTGATCCCAACTACCAGCTTGGGTGCGGATCCCTGACTGTCCAGTGCCTTGGGACGTCCTCCTGACATGAAAGGAGATATACCAATGTAATTTGTTGTTGTTTTTCACCCTCTCCCTTCCTCAGTTCAGGAACCTGTGAAAGCAGAACCTCAGAACAGGAATGGCTCACATTGAAAATGAAATGTCCCCATTATAGGAATGCAAGACTGCTTTTGGTTGGATTAAGATCAACTTTATGTCATTGGGTGGATGAGAAATTGAATGTTATGTGCTTTTTAAGCAGATAATATAATAACAGTCCAAATTATAATAAAAGGGGTTAATCTTTGTTCTCTTGTTTTTATATCTATGCACCATATTAAAACATATATTCTCTCCGCAAACAGGTATATGACCGTGACTTGACCTCGGATGATTTCATGGGTTCTGCATATCTTAGTCTGAGTGATCTTGAAGTAAACAGGTTTGTAATAATATTAGCTGTAAGGATCTCTGTTTCCTTTTTTTAACTGGCGCTGTAGATACCAGACGCAACTGTTTGATTTGATACTGTAAATGACTGAATGATGCTGCTTAATAGAACTAGGTTAAGCTCTGCAAACCTAAAGGAGCCAGTTAGATTTATGTAAAGCAAATAAAAAATACAAAGTACTCAGACGCTATCATCTGAAACTAAGTGCTATTAAAAGCACAGCAATTGTTGAATAGCCTTGAGGGACTAAGCTTATAAATTATAAATTAATGGAGACTGGATTTATGATAGTGTTGCCATACGTAACATAGCTTCAGTCATGGATTGAAATGACTAGTAGGACTATGCAGAAATTGTGATCAAATTTTAAAATGCCCCGGCAGTATATTGATATATTGACTAAGCATCTGATAATATATTAAAAGCTTTGATAAGTGCCTTTGATTAAAATTCTGCATACTCCTCTTGCCTTTCCTCTTCCTAATTTCACTCACACACTGTAACTGAGAGGAGACGACATTGAGCATGATCCTTGAACAAGAAGCAGGGAAAGGATTTGAAGCTGTTAGAGGAAGGGATGGTCGAAGAGATATGTTCGTAGGTGTTTTTTTAAAATGGTGAGAGACACAATAAGGGAAAGTGGTTTTAAAAGAGACTCCCAGACGGCAGAGGCATTGTGGTTGATGGCTTGCTTATGAACTTTAGAACAAACGGAGTTGGGATCACGCAACATAGCAGTCAGAGAACTGGAAGGTGTAGAGAAGATTGAATAGAAGATTGGAGAAAGATCGTAGAGGGATAAGGAGAAGGACCTTTGAGGTACTGGTAACCAAATGGATTTGGCGAGGCTGAGTGTGTGGTACCGAGCTGTGCCTGTAGCGTTGTGGATCAGTTGTAGCTTCTGAAAAGTAAAACTCAAGAGGCTGTCAAGGAGAGCAAGGGAAACATCTGTTCATGATGTGGCTGACCTTGAGGGTTTCAGAGGTAGTGGTGGTGAAGTAAGGATGTAGGCGGGCAATGTTCCTGAGATGCTATCTTGGCGTTGTGACAGATGTGGGGTTTGAAGCTCATCTCCACATCCAGTCATTTAAATAAGGAATTGTAAATTAAAACTGCTTTCCTTCCTTTAGATTTCTACAAAAGGAGTTGCAGCTGGATGACCCAAACAGCCTGGAAGACTACATGGGCGTGATTGTCTTACAGATAACTCTTTCCCCAAAGCCAAGTGAAAGCAGCACAAATGTAAGTTGTTGTATTTGACGTTGATGATGTTGGATGTTCTTGTTGGAACTTGACCTCCGAAAATCAGATTTTCACTCCAGCTCTCATGATAAATAAACTCATAGCAGAGCCTGATCATGTTCTCACCTGGCTCCTACACTTCCAACGCACAATTGGACAGTGATCAGGAAAGCGAATCTAAATGAACTTGAATGTAAACACCTATAGAGTAGGGTTCCTTATAGAGAATGTCTCAAATTTGAAAATTTTATAACTACGGAATTTGGTTGCAGTAGTCTGTGAGAACAGACCTCCCTGTTATGAATTGTACTTGCGTGGAGTGTTTTTGTAATTTTAGCTTGTTTTACACTGGCTGTAAATAGTTATTCAGGTTTATCCTGTTGCTTTGTCTGCAAAGTATTAAGAAAAGCACAGGGAGAGCAAGGTTTAGCCACCCTGACCTCTTAATCCTCTTCTATTAAAAAAAAGGGCCAAATAGATCATTACACTCCTGGTCCATGTGCCTGCTTTGGAGCTGGTCCTAATTCAGAAAAAAAATGAATAAATGCTGCCAGAACCTACCAGAGACCTCTGAAGCAGCAATAATAGCTGCTTTTTTTCCTTCCCTTATAATGGAACCGTGGAAATTCATAGCACAGAAGGTGGCCATTCAGCCCATAATGCTAGTGCTGGATCTTTGAAGGAGTGATCTATTCAATCCCATTTACCAGCCTTTCCCCCCATGCCCTTGCAAATCACTCCATTTTAGATATATATCTAATTCTCCCTTGAAAGCTAATATGGGTTCTGCCTTGACCACCGAACCCAGCAAAGTATTCCACATCCTAACTACTCTGTATTTTTTTTAAAAAAACTCCTAATTTCCTTTGCAAATTTGTAAATTGATGCCCTCTAATCACTGGCTCAACAACCTGTGGAAATAGACTACTTTTTAAAAGTTATCAAAACCCTTCATTATTTTAATGACCTCTCTCAAACTTTTTTGTTCCAATGGGTTCCTCGAGTCTCTGCTCATGGGAAAAGCAGCTCATCTCTGGCATGAATCCTCATAAATATATTCTTGTTAGTGTTGGAGACACTTACCTGGAATCTCTGCTGGACAGTAACAACAAATCACACTTGTATAGCCTTTCACTTTGGTAGGATGATGTCCCAATGCGCGCCAGTCAGGGATTTAGACTCGAGCTGGATGACTATGAACTTTGTCCTGTTTCTATCCAAGGCATTCTGTGTTGCACCATATTTTCCCAATAGCACTTCGCACAAACGAAAGCATAGGTGGATTGTTTAGAGAAGCTCTGAATTGAAATTGAATTTAAGATTGGTTGCATAACGGTATTAGCTGCCCAACTGAATAAAATCAAGCTGCTAAATACAAGCAGACGCGGTGTGGAAGATAATTAGAAAGACTTTGCTGGAATAGTTACCTTTTGTAAACCCACACCAATTCAAGTAGTACTACAACTGACTGCTTTAAGAGATGATGGATATAGACCAGATTTGTTTTTCAGGGTAAGCGTAAAATATTTGCCAAAATCTTTCAGTTTCATTGTGCCATATGTAAATTTCAAATTCAGGGATAAATAAATAAATACTTTTTGTGAAAAAAAGTTATGGGGGAAAGTATATTTAGACTGGAAGTTGTTAACTAATTCGCTTTGGTCCAGGAGATTTTGACTTGGGCTAATGTGGTGCTGCTCATAAGAGTCATATCTGAACCTTGTTTAGGGTTGTTCAATACAATGTAAATGCATTTACATAGCGGCCTTCATGTCCGGAACATGTCTCAAAGAGCTTTACATTGGTGGGTACCCGAGCTGTTTAACAATCATTTAAGTTGATTCTGGAATGGCTCCAGAAAATAGTGTTTTTTTATGCATGAATGGCCCTTTCAGAAATACTTACTTGTGAACAACTTGCATTCAATCCCATTATCCCATCTCCTCTCTGTCTACCAGGCGAGTTTGGTCAGGAAGAAGCAACTCACCGGCACAAAGGTAACAGCTTTACTCTTTCTTTTGGCCTAAAAGCCCTTTTTCAGTCCAAAATTCTGAAAGAAAACATATACAGTATTAGCTTTGTGTTATGACAAAACAACTTTGATGTACTTTGGCCTGATGCTTCTTTGACTGCTACATGGCTCACCCCTGACTAATGGTTTTCAGCTTGGCTCAGTCGATTGCTCACTCTCGCACCTCTGAGTCAGAAGGTCGTGGGTTCAAAGCCGACGTCGGGACTTTGAGCTCACAGTTTAGGGTGATGCTACAGTGGATTACTGGGGGGGGAGCACTCACTTCACTGTCAGATGTGCGGTCCTTTGGATGGGTCATTAAACCCACGTCCACTTTGGGGGTTAAAGGTCCCATGTTACTATTTGAAACTAGAAAGGAGTCTCCTGTTCTCCTGGGATCCTGGCCAACAATCTTCCAGAAAAATTGATCATTCACTCATGCTGTCTGTGTGACAAATTGACTGCCAATATTCGCCGATAAATAGTCACTACACCTTACAGAAATTATTTGTGAGGTGGTTAGCCATTTATTGATGACAGTTATTGTAATAATTTGCCAAAAACTCAACCTAAAGAGGAAAGACCTCTTGGGACAGTAATGTTCCAGGAGCCACTAGGAGTAGCCAACTCTGCTGATAATTTGGAAGAGATCAGACCAGGAGTCCTGTAGCTCAGTGGTTACAACACTCGCCTCGCAAGCGAGAGACCTGGGTTTAATTCCTGGCAGGGCGAAACCTTGGGCAAGTTTCCTTACACACACTTGATAAAAATCCCTCAAGAAAAAANCGCAATAGCATGGTTGATCATTTCAATCCACAACTGTTTGTGAGACACTGCTGTGCCCATTTAGCTGCTGTGTTTCGCCCAGAAATATACAGTCAATTCACTTTACAGTTTATTCTATGAAGCACTTTGAGACGTCTAGAATACGTGAAAAGCGCTATATCAAATGCAAGGATTATTATTATTTTGTGACTGGAAGTGTGGTGTGTGTAGATCACATTTTCAATTTTATTTCTGATGTGGTTTTAATTTATTGCATCATCCGTTACATTACAAAAAAAATAATAAATTGGACACTCAATCCATTACTGTTTGTGGGACAATTATCTGCCGTGTTTTCACCACAAAATATAGTCACACTTTACAGTATGTTCTCCTATTTTGCCGTACATCTCGGGAGCTATGGCAAGACCCAAGGTTTAGATTGACTTCACTGGAAGGTTAAAGTCAGCAGCTCCAGTCAACTGTACTGAACTGTTTATCGCTTCAGCCTGGCTCTCCATTTCAAAAGGTGCTGCCTGTATGGCATTTATTTTTCCGTGTTATTGCATCAATGGAGAAACCTTCTTCTTGTCTCCGCTACCATTACTTCAGTAGCGCCCATTGGGGAAAATAAACTTTCTGAGGCGGTTGTGTGTACGTGCATGATGGGTCAGAGGAGGTTATCGTGCCATTCACTTGCAGTAGTGCGCAGGCCGAGATAAAGCAGAGCTGGAAATGCCATGCTGACTTGGAAGGAGGACATTTAAGATAAAATCAGCATAAAGAGTCCGTAGCTGCCAATTGTCTGTTTCTTCAATTAACACTCCCTGCATTGATTTCTAAATATTTCCTCAATCGAGGGGGTAAAAAAAACCTCAAGGCATTAATAATTGAATTCGCTGCAGGAATGGTGGGTCATCCAACATTCCACGTCTCACGGTTGAAGTATAATCAGGATCAGTGGGACAAGCGGAGCCAACCTCTCTCCAGCACGTTATTGGAAGGCCAGAGTTATTGTTCTGGGATCTGTGCATTCCCTGGATTCGTGCTAGTGTAGAGCTATTGAAGATGAATTGTGTGAGTTTTCCTAATTCTGCTGCTGCAATTGCTACACTCACCTGAGGGATAACTCCGAGGTCAGGGGCATATCCCACCGGATGACCTGACCCTTCTTGTTGCTTATTGAGTTTGAAGGATTGTGAGGTTTTTTTGCAATGCACGATAGTTGCGTGTCTGGTGTTTATCCCCAATGCATTTACGTTTCTTTTAAAAAAAAGTCATTTTAAAGTTTTCGACGATTGTGTATGAAAATATCCATGTCAAAGTAGATTAAGCATGAACTCTAATTTGAACATGCATTGAGAGAAGACCCTGCAATTGAACTGCAATTCAATAACAACTACAATTTGCACTTTACAAAGCTTATTTTCCATAAGGTGGAACATCTCCAAGTGTTTAATGTGGGAGATAATGTAGGCTGCGGATTTCTGGAGCCCGTGGAGCTGGGGCAAATTGACTGGAGGTGACAAAGCCATGGATGATAATAATAATAATAATCCTTGCATTTGATATAGTGCTTTTCACGTCGGGGGGACGTCCCAAAGCGCTTCACAGAACACACTGTAAAGTGAATTGACTGTATATTTGTGGGCGATCGCGGCAGCCAATTGCGCACAGCAATGCCCCACAAACAGTCGTAGATTGAAAATGACCAATTTATTATTGTTTTTGGTTTTGGAGGGATTATTATTAGGCGTGTGGAGTAAGGAAACTTGCCCAAGGTTTCGCCCTGCCTGGAATTGAACTCAGGTCTCTCACTTGCAAAGCGAGTGCTCTAACCACTGAGCTACAGGACTCCACAAGATGAGAGTTTCGGCTGCATTAGGGATGAGGTGGTGGTGGAAGTAGAGGATATTATGGCGGTGGAAGAAGGTGGATGTGGTTGGAGTCAAATTAAAGGAGAGTTGAGGATTGAAGAAAACACTGAATAAGATTACAATCCACGCTATTGTTCAAAGAGAGTAGTTTTAGGCAGCTTGACAACTCTTGAATCAGTGTGCCTCAATCTCATTCTGTTTTGATTTGGAGATGCTGCCTTATTTCTATTAGGTTTAACAAGTTGACGTGTACAATATTTGCAGTTGAAGAGTTTAATAGTCTATGCACTGTTAGTAGGTAATGCATGAGCCTCAGGCCTGATTCCGTGTGGCCTTTCCAACTTAGTCTGTGCCAGCATACAACCACTAGGGGACAGTATTGAACCACTATTCAGTGACCTCGAGCACATGTTACTTAAATTATTTTTGCAGCCAACAAGCATTAACAATCATTTTGGCTGAAATCCATATTGGATAAAATCCAGTTTAGTTTCATTTTTTGTGCCAATTTTAGCTCCTTTCTTTCATAATGCTGTGTTTTATGACGTTCTACGAATGACAAATGTATGATTATTTTAAGGCTAGCATTTTCAGAGACGTAAAAAGACCCCCATAGTGAAGTATCAACTACTTTACTTTCCCTATCTTTTGATCTTGTATTCCAGATACACATATAATTTTTAAAATGCAATAAATCCAAATATTATATTTTATATTCTACATACACTATATGGTTTGGAATATTAAAAAAAAGCAAAATATTCCACATCTTGTTCTGTTATAGAAATGTATATGATACTTTTTACAACATTAGTCTTCATGTTAAGCACATTAATGTGTTTTATGCGGGGCATTGTGTACTGCGATTCCACCTTGGTTTCCATACTTACTAGCATTGTAAGCTCAAGAAGAGTGCACACAAAATACAAAGTGTTACAAGTGTGCGTTATTTTGAATTCAATAGCATGCCAGTTTGGAACACCTTGTCAAGTTTTTCGTGCAATATTTAAATGGTTTAGACACAAGTAGATAACTGAATGCTGAAAAGACTGGCATTAGCGATGCTGGGAAATGGGGCAGGGGGTGATGTGCAAAATTGAACACTCAAAAGAAAATGACTCTACACTTAACAGAATAGCCTCCCATAGAAATGAATAGAGGAAAATGTTGGCTTTTCAGCAAGAATACACTTAAAGGGATCTACACTTATGTACACACTTCAGTGGAGTGCACTAACTTTAAAATCACAGTTTAGAGGTACAATAGCACCTGACAAGGCTTACAATTTTTCACTTTACTTTCAGAGCGCTTATAACTCTTGAGTTTAGAACTGGTACTGGCATGCCCATGAAAAAGTAGAGTTCAGCGTGGATCGCTTACAAAGCAGCTGATTTGGGTTAACTGGTATGGTGGCTATTCAGTACCCAAAGGGTGCATGCATTTTTAATTTAACAAGGCTAAATAAATATTCTGGTCTCTAGAATTCCAACGGGGCTTGAGTAAAGTTTTACAATGTAGATAAATAAACATCTCGCTTCTTCTAATGGTTTAAACATGTATAAATAACGTGGCTCTAAACATTTCTGCTGTTTATATTTCTGTGAGCAGAGTTAAGTTTAGGTGTAGGAATTACAACCATTCTACTTTTAAGATGGTCCTTTTTAAGTATTTTGTTTCCCCAGCATTTGGTGCACATTTCAATTTCGGTTTCAATTATGAACTGCACAAATAGGAACAATTGTGACAAGAAACAAAAATGATGCCTGATATTAAATTGATTAGGTATGGGAAAGTAGAGTCTATGTAAAGCAACTTGTGGTCTCTTTGAACCTGAACTTTAGCATATTTCGTGCAATAGTGTTAAAAAAATCATGCAACAGTAAATCCCAACATTCCCTTTTCATCAAGTTGCTAAGATCTCATGCAGAAGAAGAAATTTAGCAATGGCGTTCTTACACATTGCCTTTTAATGATCTGTTTGTTTAAACCCTGAATTTTGAAATCGTAATAAAGATCATTTGAAGTCTTGGTGGAAGAGGTCATTGTCATTTATAATGCCACCTGTGTCTTCTCAAGTGTAAAGCATGCCTGGGCGTCTTTTCTGGATGTGATGTGGTCGGAATATCAAAGAAACTGGGGAGTATAATTCATTGGACAAATATTGCCTTTTTTTTGAATGTGGCGTCTCGATGGCTTTCTGGTGTTTTTCAGATTTTCGAGCATGCGTTTCAGCTTTGAGAAATGAGAATATTCCTGGAATCTTCAAAGTGTTTGGGGGATGAGGGACGATGGGGGCATGGTTGTCTTCTTCAGTGATGAGAGCAAGTCGACATTTCCCAGAATAGGCAGCAATAAACAAGATGTGAGAGTGTTATAACAAGGCTGTCAATGGATATAACTGGTGTACTGGCCAACTGGGTCTGCCTTTGCCCACATTCCCCACTCATGCTGTTCTGCCATATGGAAGCAATCTTCCCCCCCACTTTAATAGCTAGCTTTGGAATCCATTTTCACAGGCTTCATACAGCTGAGAGGAGCAGTTTCATGAATCGACCAGATAGAAGTCACTTCCAAGATAAACATTCAATTTAAAAATTAGACATACCAGGCAGCAGATTTCTTTAGACATATTTCAAAGAAGTGCGGCTATTCATCTTAAGCGAATGCCAGGCATCAGCGAGCTCTTTGATCCTTTCAGAAAGTTACTCCCCCTCACTAAAATATAAATCCACAACTGCTATACTACACTGGAGGGAACAGCTCCCAGCACTTTGAAGTTTGACCCTGGGAATAGCCCACAGCTTAGCTCTGAACATACTTTTCCCCGGGTTTTGGCTGGTGGTGGATGGGGAGCCCCTCTGCATATGGAGTGGTTGCCTTCCTAATAAAGATAAAGTTAACATTTGTTCTGCACTAGCTAGGTGGTTGTCTCAGCAGGAGTTATTGTTAATTTTACAATAGGTAGTTCATAGGTTTGTAAAAACTGGTTTGCGGAACGAGAGCGCGGCTTTCTTTGTTCAACAGCTGCTCTTTAAACAACGTGAAGATTAATTTGAGCTGAACACCTCTTTCTGTTTTATGCAAAATGTGTGAAAGTCAGTGGGGGAAATGAGAGCCTTGTATATTGTAGCAGAATCAGCAGTAGGTAGAGATCAATGAATTGAAACAAGCTCCTTCGGGGAGATGATAAACAGCGCTCAGTTCTGTACAGTTTGGCCCATAAGAGCACCACAGCTGGGGAGACTAAATCCCATTATTCCTTATGATTTCCTCCGACAGCTCAGCTCTTCTTTATACTTTGTCTTCACTCCCTATGATTCATTTCCGACATTTGCTTAATTATCCCAAAAGAGTTTCTGTGAATTGTTGGCTATTGATCCTTTAGTACTATCATAAATGTAGTGTAAGCATAATATATATTTTTACATGTGTGTGTATAGAGTTACAGAATGGTTTATGTGCTGAATGTAGGAACAAACTCTTTGGACCTGGGGCCCTCTTTCAAGAATATCAAGAATTTCAAGATTATATGACTATGATTTGCATTTACTTTTCTTATCCAATTTGCCATTACTGCACTCATGTTATTAAAACGAGGATTTAAAAAATAAAATCTGGCTTCCGACATTTGCGGTGGGATTGATAAACATTTGCGGTGGGATTGCTAAACTTTCCTTTCTCTTGTTTAAAGTGAACTGCAGTGTTCTGAAACTCTCAGATGAATGATTTTAAAGAGAGGGGTGAAGCAGGTATAGATGTGGTCTTGTAATAGGTTTGCAGTGTCATTGCCAAGACAACAAAAGACAATCTGACAGTGTTTTGAGTCTGAACGTTTCTCAGTTGCCTCACTGAAGGTGGTCAAAATCTACCAGAGGCAGAGGCCTCTGAATAGCATGTAGATCATAAAAGAAAGATTTGTGACATGGGAAATATTTCAAGAAACAAGTATGGGTGCAGGATGAGACTGTTAGTAGTGTTTGAGTAGTAGGAAATGCATAGTAGCAAATATAACTTTTTTTTAAAATCTCACAATGTTAGAACTAAACAATCAATTTATTTCTCATCTGTTTCCAGTGAACATGCAAAGAGTCTTGAATTAAGAAAATGTATTGAAATATTTGTCAAGTTGCATTTATTGCATTGTTTTTTTTGTGTGATCACGTCACTGACATCTTTCTTTTCTCCTGTTCGTGCTGTTTGCTCGATTGGTGGAGAAAGTCAAGCTTCGTCCGGTTGTCGGAATCCTTTCGGAAGAGTCAGTGGTGCTCCGAGGTTGTCACCATCTCCCTGCTTGCTGGGAAAGTGATCAAAGAGGAAGGAGTGGAAAAACTGTACGTCAAGTTCAAGCTGGGGGAAGAAAGATACAAAAGCAAGGTACAGAGGCACTGAGTGTCACTAAAATATTCTGAACACTGGGATCCCAGCTCCTAGGTGTAGTAGCATGTGAGGACACACACAATACAAATCTACCTTTGTATAGCACCTTTCATGTCGTCGCAATCCTCATAGGGGAGTGGGCATGAAGATGTGTGCCAACATGCAGTGGCACATTAGATTGAGCTTCCCACTGTGGAAGTGCAGTGTTTACATGCCTCCTGCTTAGCTGCAAAACATTAGGTCGAGTAGGCCATTCAGTCCCTCGAGCCTGCCCCACCGTTCAATAAGATCATGGCTGATTTTCTGACCTAACTCTAATTACTTACCCCATATCCCCTAATCTCTCTATTTTTTAAAAATCTAAAAGATCATCAGAAACTCATCTTTATTATTGTGTTGTCAAGAAAACTTTTTGAGTAGGATATTCTGATCCTTTCAGCCTTTTCGTCCTGAGTGTTTGATTTGGTTTGGAATGCAGATCTGCTCACATTGTGATACCACTGACTGAGGAAGGAGTTATAGATCCAGTAAAACCAGTTAATGTGAAATGGACCTTTTCTGTATCTGTGCGGTTGTTATATGAGTATAGATAGAGCTTGCATGTCAAGCATACCACTACAGGAGAAAGGTTTAGATAGTAAAGCCTGCACTAAACCCCTGAATTCCAGAGCTAGCATGTATGTACTTATATATCTCAATAACAGGCTTACCACTATAAACACTGGACATTGTTTAATAATCTTGGTTAGAATCACACTGGCAGCACTCGCTGTAAATCGAAATTGTTCAAACGCAGAAATAAAAACAATTGAATTTCAATGATTGTATCTATCTAATGGGTGCTGTATGTCAGAATAGTATAGTAAAACTTGTTAACTTTATAGAGATCTCCAGGTTTTTNATACTATAAACTCCTTTTACAGAATTACTATTTAATGTGTTAATCTAATTGTTTATTTTCCTCCAGGGTTGTAGAATTCTGTGGCTATGTTTTATACAATATGTATCTACATATCATAAACTTCACATGGAATTTGTTTTGAAATATCACACTTCTGTATATTGTGGGCATTAATAGACTCTAGATTATTGTGGAATGAGCTGAAGATGAGCTTTGTAGAAGTTCGTAGTAGGTGCACATCATCCAGTTCATTCCATGCACGTGTAGAACTCTCAGACTGGTTTGGATACTCCTAAGCATGGTGATGGTTTTTTGCAATGTGTCAGACACCCGGCTGACTAGCAAAAAATCAGTTCACTGAGGACACTTGATTTGACGTACTTTTTTTTTATATTTTCAATATTTTTGAAACATATCCTGTTTGCTGTTTGTGGTTCTTTGTTCCAGGGTTTACCTCTTAGAAGTTTCTGTCTTGCACCATCGTGCTTCTTGGCTTGAGAAGTGTATTTCTTTCTCGAATTTGTCTTCCTATTAAGCACAGTGACCTTGACAATGGAGGAAGCCCATAAGCCACATAAGCAGTTGCTACATTTAGGGGCAAGCCAAATTTTATCCCCCCACCCCAGTGATGTTTAGTTAATTGTGGTCTGTGTGATCAACAACACTTTTGCTGAGCTGAGGACAGTGTGGTAATGTGCATATAAACTTTTATTACAAGTCCTTCCAATTCAGTATTTGGAATTAATGTGGGTTCGTTACAAAGATGTGAATTGTGTGTGATGGGTTACTATAGAGAACAGCTGAGGAGTCAGCTCTTTACAACGGTCCTCAACCCAGATAAGAGGTACACATGTGCTGCAGTGTTGGGATTTAACTAACTGGTATTTATATTCCTTGCATTTGTATTTGATTTATACGCGATTATAACCTTATAGTCATCAAAAATCCAAATTACATTTCACCCTCAAGTTGCTTTCCCCCCACCCCCCATATAGATGGTTTACAGGAGCACTAATCCTCAGTGGAGAGAGAGATTTGATTTTCATCTGTTCAACGAAAAGAAAAATGTGTTAGAAGCTGAGGTCTGTGGGACCGACAGCAAGAACTGGGAAGAATGCATTGGAACGTAAGAGCACAACTTTTTCATGTCTTTTTCTGATCGTTTATAAAAGTTATTGAAGATAATTGTTAACTATGGCAAATCAAACCAGATAACTGATTTTATCTGAACACAGTGCAGATCAGGTGCTCCACCTAGTTATATGGAGCCCTTTTGTACATCAGTGTATCCTGTGATGTGCCACAGTACATGCTTGGATACCATTCACTACAACTCTGTACTGCAACTTGACCCAGTTTGAAAGTTAGCACTGAAGTGTAAAATGCACTCTTCGGGTTTAGATTTGAGATTGGCAATCGGTTGACTGCAGGATCTCGCAATCCGGTTTAGAAATATCCGACTAACACAACGCATCTGGTTTACGAAAATCCTGATGTTGGTTCTTGGTACAAGTTCGACTTCCTGTCCCTTGAATACAATGCACGGTTCACTCGTGCTGTCAGTGGGAAGGAGTTTTTTTTAGATTGGACTGTGGCAGATGTAGTGCTAATGGAAAAAAAATCATTAAATCTTTCCTTCAGTGTTTGCAGATGAGGCTGACATAACACAGCACCAGTTCCTGGAGCCCTGATTGGATTGAACTGTCATTGAGAAATCAATGCTCACATAGCCTATAAATATTGTGTCACAGGGACATTTCTGCTTTATATTTTAAACGTGTTTCGCTCTGGATGCACATTTTGGCAAGTCAAATGTTTTCGTAACAACATTGTGAGGCTGAGTATTTTGGACATCAACATGGAGTGCTTGCATATTTTATATATTAATTCATAATGTGCCTGAATTATGAAATTTTAACAAACAGAATTAAATATGAATGACCTTTCCAAGGAGGGGGTATTATAAAGGTCAAGCAGAGTAGGTTAGGTTGGGTTAAATTGACTTCTGTATTTGATCAGGTTTTAATTCATGTGTTGAGGTCTGAAGAGCGGACTGGTTTTACATCATGATTGAATTGACAAAAAGTCCTCTGCATGAACTTGATCCTGGATTGCATCACAAACCCTCAGATATTTAGTTCATACAGTGCTAGCGCACAGTGACTTCAGCTGAGATGTGATGAGTTCAGTGTTTCTAAGCAGAAAGGCTTTGATTGCTTTTGACATAAATGTGCAAGCAATAGCCAGGCGAGGTTCAAAGTCACAGTAACAGACATTTCAAACATTAACGTTTGATAGAATTAGCCAGTGTGACACGCAATCTAAATTTTAAATAATACTAATCCTCGTATTTATTGTAATGCCTTATCACATTGCTGAGACATCTCAAACAGATTCATAGGATTTTACTGCGAACTATCGTGACTATATTTGGCTGTAAACACGGAAGCCAATTTGCCTATAGCAATGTCTCACAAATGGCTGTGAAGTGTGTGATCAATTTTTTTTACGTCTGCATGGAAAAGCAAATTATTGTCGTGAAGTGGACTAACTCAAATTATTCTGTTTTGCAACACAAGATATTGATTAAGACTAACCGGCTACTTGTGCAGGAGAGAAATTGCAGTCAGTCGTTTGCTGAGTGTGAAGATGAGATTTCAGTGCATATGAAAACAGGACAGTGATTCAATACACTGGTGTAATATTCAGGCAGGGGAAAGACTAAATACAATTTTACACATACAGTTGTGTTCTATTTTCTGTCATTTCATACATTTCAAATCATTGGGACCTAAAAGGTGGAGATGTCCAATGGGATTTCTGAATAAACGTACTGAGTCGAAAATGTGAATTCCTTCCAGTAACTGGGCACAGAGCAGTGGGAACAAGACTTCCAGTTAGCGGAAAGAATTCTTGTTGAGAAATCACGCTTGAAATTTTCCATGTTATGAAAGTCTACAATTTGAGGTTTGGACTCTGAGCGCTGTCATTTTCCCTTTTATTTTCTGGGCCCAGCACAGACTGACAGGACAAGCCTTCGAATTTTGATCAGTATGAGTATCCAAAGTAAAAAAAGTTTGGGCAGACTTTCAATTTCCTTTGGGTACAATCCTGCAGCACAGCATGCACATAAATCAGCACTAATTGTCCCTAAATTGCTTGTCTCACTCAGAGAGGCCAAAAGGATGGCTGGTGTGGGAAATGGAGATATCACTCTGTTACAGTATGAGGTGCTCTTTAGAGACTGGGCTATTGACATATTATCGGGGGCAGTGCATAGGGAACACTGCATTGGGTCTAACTGAGTGCTCGCTGCTGACACAAGTTGTAGGGAGAAAAAAAATCCTTTATTCTCCTGAATGGGTATTACTCGCCTTGACGAGTGAATAACATTCTCATATAACTGCACTACAGGTCATGTCAGATAGTTGTGTTTTAGCATGAGACTGTGATCCTATTTCTGTGCCAGCTTAACCCACTTGTGCCAAATCAAATTTAACGAGGGCCTCAGGATTTTGGGGAATGCACAAGACAATGTCTGGCACTCGCCTTGATTCGATAGCCAGGGTCGGGGCAAAAACTTTTGATCAAAATTGATTGTTTGGGAACAACAATAACAACAAAATTATATTTGTAAAGCGCCTTTCATGTCGGGAGGACGTCCCAAGGTGCTGAACAGTCAGGGATCAGGACCCGAGCATGGGGGGCTGAAGGCACGGTCAAAAATAATAATAATAATCCTTGCATTTGATATAGCGCTTTTCACGTCTTCCAGACGTCTCAAAGTGCTTCACAGAATATGTTATAAAGTGAATTGACTGTATATTTGTGGGCAAAGCGCGGCAGCCAATTGCGCACATCAGTGTCCCACAAACAGTCGTGGATTGAAAATGACCAATTTATTATTGTTTTGTTTTGGAGGGATTATTATTAGGCGTGTGGAGTAAGGAAACTTGCCCAAGGTTTCGCCCTGCCTGGAATTGAGCTCAGGTGTCTCGCTTGCAAGGCGAGTGCTCTAACCACTGAGCTACAGGACTCCACTAGGAAGGACTCCAAAAGGAGGGTCTTGAGTCGTGCCTTGAAGGAGGCAAGAGAGGGAGCAATATAAGGGATTGTGGGATGGAGTGCCAAAGAGTGGAGACAGAGAGGCTGAAAGCCCGGCTGCTGATGCTAGGGTGGGTCGGGCGGGGGGCCTGGAGCAGCCTGCTGAGCGGAGGGATACAACACAAATAACACAAACATGTGATTGGCCTTTTATGATGTGTAATGAATTGGGGCACCACTTAAATGAAACGGCCAATGTGTATCATGGTTCAATAAGTGATGACAAAACAATTTTTTAATAATAATACTAATCCTTGCATTTGATCACATCATTGAGCCATCTCAACGCGCTTCACAGAATATACGGTAAAAGTGATTTGACTGTGTATTTTGTGGGTGAAATTGCTAAGTTTCATAAAATTGCTCCCTCCCAAAACAAAAATTGCAGATTTCTGAAGCTGATTTTATTTTTCTTTGTCCCTTTTTCCCTTTTAATTGTGTTTTATTTCTGAGTGTAAAATGTGTCCAAATCCTGTCATTCAAGTATTGTCACTTTCTTGTTTTAAATCCCACAGGTGCAAGGTTGACCTTGTGATGCTACCTAAAGGTCAAATAAATCACTTGGAGCTGCCTCTGGAGAACGAACAGGGCTCTCTGCTTTTGCTGGTCACGCTCAAAGTCTTCACAGGAATTGCCATCTCTGATCTCTGTGCCAGTCCACTGGATGATGTAAATGAGAGAAAACAGATCATTCAGAGTTACGTAAGTTCTCTGTTAAATTAGTTCAGCGTCATATCACATTGTGCGGTCATTTGAGCGAGTTTATGGGACAATACCCTTATTTTTTAAAAAATGCTATTTTACCATTTCTGAGTAATGCCATAGACAGAGAGAATAGTGAAGAACCAGAAATTTAAAACAAATGACAAAGATGCCGATTCTGATCACTTACAGCAGGAAATAATAACAGAAATAATCCCTACATTTGATATAGCGCCGTGATAAGACGCTATATCAAATGCAGGGATTATTTAATATATACTGTAAAGTGAATTGATTGTAAAGTGAATCGACTGTATATTTTGTGGGCGAAATAGCAGTCAAATAGAGGACGATTGGGAGGCAGCAACAGGAAGACTATGATCGGGGAAGAAATTTTAAAGAGGGAGATGTACCGTTCCACTAATTCAGAAAACTAAATATTTGGTGTGAACAGATGGGGTAGTTTTGAGATGTGGAGCATACAGAAGACTAAATGATCCATCTACACACACATACACACACACAGACACACTCTCTCTCATTCACTCCAGTCTCCAAGCAGTCCCATCGTGGAATGTCCTAAGGACTACTAAGGATTTTTCACAATCAGCCACAATTTATTCTTGGTATGAATGGAAGAGCAGATCGCAGGCCTTAATAAAATGCTTGTTCTTCCACAAAAAGATATCTTTTGCAGATATTACTTTAAAAAGGTTAGTTCTTTCTAAAGACCAAGTAGATTTTATCAGGAAGAAGGCCAATCAGACTGTAGCTGGCTGTGTGTCCCATGCCCTGTGAAATATCCACTACAGGAGCCTAAGATGTGTTATACTATTTTGGGACCCTTTTAAAACTCAGTAGAAAAACTATTCAATTTTCATATCTGCACTCTTATAAGTAAATACAATAGAATGCAAAATTACATCTGTATCATGCCTTTCACGTCGGGAGGACATCCCAAGGCCCTGGGAATAGGTGGGAATGAGCAAAAAGACCCAGAGAGTTCCCATTGCCTTGTCCTTTGTCAAATATATAAAAGGCACCAGCTTTTTCTCCTTCACAGATAACAACTTGCTGACCGAATTTCGACTTTGTGCATGATACACATGCATACATTTTGGATTACAGTGTCTTTGGATTAGTGTGGAGTAGCAAAGATGAGACACTGAAAGGTTTGCACTTGCTTTGAACTGAATTGAAGAAATTATAAAACTCATTGAAAAAAACAACTGAAGAATACCATGGTTCTTTGAACTTCATTTCAACTCCTCCAAAGCTTTTGTACTTCTGGTGGTTGTTGAAGTAACCCTAACCCTAAGTTGTTCTGTAGCATGTGTAGGTGCTTTCATATCTCAGTGTAGATACTCACTTAAAGACTGCATGATTTTAAGGTCCTTTAACTCTCCTCTTTGGTCACTTCCTTGTTTTACTGGATGCGTACTAAATTGGCAGTACATGTGCAGAGCAGCTGTTAGCTTTCTGTGGAAGCTGAATCAAATATTTTGCCCAAAAGTATACAGTCAATTCACTTTACAGTATATTCCGTGAATCGCTTTGAGACGTCTCGAAGACGTGATAAGGCATTATATCAAAAGCAAGGATTATTGTTATTATAATAAATATTGTCCAAACTTCATTGTATGCTTGAAATCAGATGGGAGTAAAGTTTATTTGAGGGCAGAGTTAATAAAGTTCAATTCTTTATACTGAAATCTGCTTATTTCCATTAAACTAAAGTAGAAGGAGAAAGTTGGGCATTGCTTTGATACGTAGAATACTTTTATTTATGGTTTGGAACTCTGAGATAGAGTTTGAGATCAGTGTGCTTCATTTATTCTTCGCAAAATTCAGTCAGTATTTTTTTCTTCATCTTAGAGCCTGAGAAGAACATTTGAGGATCTAAATGACATTGGCTTTCTACAAGTACAAGTGATTAAGGCTTGTAACCTGCTGGCAGCAGATTTTGCGGGTAAGCGAATTGTTTGCTCTGTATCTTGTCCTTGGTGCTGATATTACAATTGGCTTTATTGTTGTTAAACTAGGCAGATGGGGGATAATAGCCAGGATTCTTGTTTATGATCACTGAACAGTAATGCTGCAGAAATGTATGTGGATGGATCTAGTGCTTCACTGTGATATTCCCCATTATCAAATGGTCTGCCAATACTCACTGATTAAACTTACAAGCGCAAGATCTGAGGTAAGGGAGGTCTGCTGATGATTGTCAAACTACCTCAGTGGGAAGTCCTGTCATTAAGAGAGGAAGGTGTAGAAATAACATTTCTAATTTACTTTGTTTCCTCTCTTTACTGTCCCTCTCCTTTTTATATGCTCTTAATCTGCTGCCTCCTTGCAATAGTGAATGTGTGCAGTTCAGAGTTTGAAAAGAACCAAATTAAAATGGCTAACTGAGACTCCATGAGGTAGAAATGCAGAGAGTCTTGTCAGTCATTTTCAAGCCATTGACAAATATACCAGATAAATAGGATTTGTCTTTGTTTCTATGAGCCAGGAAACACAAGTGTTTCCATCAAGTAGAAGGATCCCTATAGACAAGGAAGTGCTTGTGTGTCTGTAGATGATGCCTTTATGGAAGATCCATTGCAAATCTGTAAATTCAATATCCTTTCATTCAATAAATCTGATAAGGGAAAAGACCCACTGAATAAAAATTAAATGGCTAATGGTACTTCAGGAAACTATCTGTGAAGCTTTGCTTTGCATGAGATGTGCGCCATATTAATGATTTAATGCTATTCTAAACAAGGATATGAAACTCTGTGACATTTACTGTAATATATTGCAGCATTAATTGCCTGCATTTTGAACATTGCAAGTAGGTCAACTTTATTCATCTGCCCTTCTGCGGTCATAATAGATTCCTTCCTATTTAGAGGGTTGATTTGGTAGCGTATGGTGTCTAGAGTGACCTCAATGCATGTGGTGTATTCATCGAACATGTTAAAATCTGTCCTGTCTGTTACTGTAGCCAAATCGTATCTGGATAGTCAGCCCAATATATTGGGGCTGTAAGAACCACACTATTCTGCTGCGCGCATATTTAGAAACTAAGCAGATCTTCACCTTAAACCGTAGTAGAGCCAATTCTGTGAAGCGCTTTGAGACATCTCAAAGATGTTATAAGGCGCTATATCAAACGATTATTATTATTATTAATTCCTACAGATGCAAATTAAATTGGGATAATAAATAAGTTTTAAATAAGTTAAATTGCGGTAAAGTAACTTGAAGGAACAACTTAGAATGATGCCTATTATCAAAATAATTTTCTCAGTTAAACAAGTAGTTTAAGCTCAGACTCCGTTAAAATACAGTTCAAGATGGTTTGGTGGGTAATCAGATTTGGCCTGGGCTGACTAATCACGGCCAGAACTACGGTTAAGGCAGTATAATTGGCATATATAAACCTATTTAGGTGTATTTCTTCTCCTCTTTTAATATCTTGCACTTATGGTGTCCTCACAAAACTCCCGGGGAAAGGGGTGGTTGCAGACCATCTCTGGAGCAAGTGACTTGCCACTTATTTCCACCGTTCTGCCTGTCACAGACTAGAGCCTTGGAGACGACCACATTTGTAGTTTAAACATACCCCTGTTAATTACAGGCTTAAACTTGTAGATGTGTTGGTAACTTGTGCTGTGGTCCATTTTTCATTGTGTGCAGAAATCCTGAGGGAAGGCTCTCTCTCTCTTGCCCTCTTCGATGCAGAACACTCCAATAATTCTAATGACAGCCCTGGTTGACTGATTTGACTTTGAGTCTCATTCTTGAATTCACTTGCTTTAGTCTGAACATCACACAGGCAGGGTTAATATTATTGACTGCATTTTATATATTAAAAAAAAGATGATGACATTGCAGAGCTAAGTGGAGCTTTGTACTGGTGGAATTGCAGCAGATCTTGTGTGCAGGGCTGTCTGAAAAAATGAACTGAATGCTTGAAAATGTTGTGTAGCCCTTATGTAATAAATTGTGAAACAGAAGCTGTTTGCACCTGTAAGCTATCCTCGTTGCTAAACCACGAGCCGCGTAATTAGCTCTAATTTGTTATCCATACCTTTGTCTCTCTAATAAATAATACACCTTTCAACCAGAACAAACAATACAGGGTGCTGAAGTAAATGTTATTGTTAGTGCTCCTTCATAGCACATGATCCCCATTAGTTAGTACTTAAACATTGGTATAGAAGAATTCTTTTGGCTCTAGCTCTCTGAGCTGTAATATAAATCATGACACTTTAGTAATAACGCTGGCAGTGCCTGCTAATGGAGCTTGTGCACCCACTCATAAACAAAGAACAATAACACTGCTGCATGATTCATTACCTCATAAGGTGGTTCTGCCGGAATGTGGTGTCTTCATGGTTTACAGTATGACGGGATTCACAAGGGATTCGAGGGAATGACATATAACCTTGACTGGTAACTCGGTCAGTAATGCTCTGATGGAAAAGTAAAGGGGATTAACTCTATGTAATGCTGTTACATGAAATTGTTGTCTACATTTGGTGCTACCGTATTTGATTCTAGCCTTGCAGAAGTCTATCCATTTGACTCGTTCGCTAACATATGAGTAGCTTTCCGATCCTAAATGATTGCATTTGTTCATTTTGATCCTTTTTTTTAAAAAAAAGTTTATTCATCCGGTTACATAAAATAATGTCCTATCATTTAGGAAAGAGACGTTTCTGAGCAAGGCAGTGTGTGGAGGGATTCAGTAGCCATTATTATATTGGTAAACTAAAGTTACATTGAAATTCTTTCACATTGCTCTAGATTAAAATAATAATAATCCTTACATCTGATATACCTCTTATGTTGGGAAGATGTCTCGAAGCGCTTAATGGTAGATAGCTTCTCGGGTGCAAACTTTGCTCCCACCTTTCAAAATAAAAGAGAAATTTATAACGGGTAATATTTTGTTACAATTAACAGCAGAAACATTTCCAAACCTTTTAAATTACAGTATATCGGTCTTCCTTCTGTAATTTGACTAATCCTGTTAAAATCTTTCTGTTACAGATGATCACTGAGACCAACGATTTGACTGAAGGATATATCCCGACTGACACTTTATTCCCAAATATCTTTTCTTGCTTTACAGGAAAGAGTGATCCGTTCTGTGTTCTGGAACTGGGGAAGCATAGGCAACAGACCCACACAGTGTATAAAAACCTTAATCCTGAATGGAATAAAATCTTCACATTGTAAGTTGCAGATAAATTAACTAGAAAGTTGTACCCTTTGTATAATAATAATCCTTAAATTTGATATAGCGCTGTATCAAGTCTTCAAGCCGTCTCAAAGTGCTTCACATAATATACTGTAAAGTGAATTGACTGTATATGTATGAACATATCCTGGATATTTTTCAATTATATTAGATTGGGGTCATTAATGCGACTATGGTAACTGTAAAATCATTGAATGTTTAATTCTTTCCTCATTTCAATTTGAATGCAAACTCCCCGCTGAGCAACTTTAACTTAGTTTCACTCAATTCATTTTGTAACAAAGAATTTATAATGACAATAATAATCCTTATATTTGGTTAAGTGCCTTTCACGGCAGGACGACCTTTCAAAGCGCTCCACAGCATTTACCGTGAAGTGTAGTTACTGTGAATTTGTAGGCAAATCAGCCAATGAAATGAAACCATAACAATGCATAATCAACAGACAAAATTGAGAGCAAATTTCAATGCCCCCAAGACGTTGTAATTTTTTACAGTATCAGACCAGACCAGAGTAGACCAGGTGTGGGAAACGGTCAAGTGGTTTTGAATACACTATTCCCATATGAGCATGTTTACCAATTTGTCTCCATTTTCTAGTAATATTGGGGACATTCATGACATACTGGAAGTAACAATCTTTGATGAAGATGGGGACAAGCCACCAGACTTCCTTGGCAAGGTTGCGATCCCTTTGCTTTCTGTAAGTTTAAATACTCTCTCTTTAAAATGTTATCAGTTTTATTTTATTTACGAGTATTTTTGTTGCAGATATTTGTGGTCTTTGAGTTTTGCAGCATTGAACCTATTATCATCTGTGAGTTATCAAAGAACCCTTTACGTAAGTCATGTGGATGAGAATGCTACTACCCACATAATTATCTTGAGACTTCTGCCAAAGAAGAGCTGCCAATGTACACGTAAATTTTAAAAAGGCTACTGCTTTACAAGTTTCCTATGTATAAATTGTAGCTGTTTTACTAGCTTTTCTAATGAGTCCATGGTTGCTAAAATCTCAGTTACACCATTTAGTGCATTTCTCTTCCCATTGAGTCTTTTAACTTGAATTTAACTATGGCATCCTGTAGCTACCATTGAAGAACCTCACTCGCATGATAACTATGTGAACTGCTCTTGAATCTTCCAGAGAAACAACAGCTTCTCTGAGTCGTTGCACATGGTCAAGGTCACTTGGGCAGCCATGTGACTTGATGCGCATGGGTTACGTACTTAGCTTGATGTTTGTTGGATCCCTATAATTTGATCTTATTGCTAATTAAAGCCTACTTTCATGATGTGTTTTGTGCTGTGACTATAGATCAGAAATGGTCAGCAGATCGCATGTGTCCTGAAGAACAGAAAGTTGGGACAACGCATGAAAGGAGTTATTTACTTGAAGTTGGATCTAGTCTATAACTTGGTGAGCGAGAATGAAATAATTGCATGACACACGGCATTTTTTTATCTGTTGGATCAAACTGTGGTGATCTTTCATTATATCCTAGTTTGCTTTATCAGACACCATTGCAAAGAATTTTACTGAGATGATAATGATCAAGAATATGCACTTGATGCATTGGATTACAAATGCATCCCATTCAGTCAACTTATGGGTAAATGCATAATTTCTTTTTGTGGCCTCTATTGTGACAACCGAGACAAAGTGATCTGTTGCTCTTTTATTTTTGGAGTGATATACTACCTACTGAGCTTCGTATAAGGAGAACGTGTTATTTTACTTTGTCCATCCAGTGCTATAAATTTTCAGAACCTGCTGGGAAAGTACATTTTGGAGACAACACACCTCAACAAGCTGTAACCATTTATATTGCAGAAATGCATTGTATTATTTTCATTTGAAAAAGCATTTTATCATCCTATCCCAGAGACTGACTCTCTGTGCACATTCTGCAGACATGTAAGTGTGCATAGGCTGCCAGGGACCTTTGCTGGTATTGTAGACCAAATCCACTGGAGCTGGTACTTTGTCGATAAGAAGCAGCTCCACTGATAGTGTATAGCAAAGCTTGAATATTTTCGAAACTCAATGCGATGTCCCAAGTTATCCGTTGTTATTCGATAGGTCACTTGTGTTGCTAAGTTCCGTCTATGAATATGTTTTGACAGTTATATTTATGGTGTATTGGAATAAAAAAAAGTTAAGTGGACAAAACATTTTTATTGTTTACTCTGGATGCTTCCTGAACAGTATTGAACTCTGATAATCTGATGTTTTTTTGTTTTGCATTTCAGTGGCACCGACAGTGTAAGAGTGCTTAATATAAATTTGTTGCAAACACAATGGGGATTTGGGTGTTTTGGTAACTGCTGTTTGCTTTCTTGTGTAAGAGATGGCAGGTAAAATTTAACCTGGGTCTAAATTTACCCTTATTATTGTAACATTTAGAGCATCCAGAATTTGTCAAATTGTTGAACTTGCGTTTCGCCCACAAATATACAGTCAATTCACTTTACAGTATATTCTGTGAAGCGCTTTGAGATGTCTAGAAGACGTGAAAAGCGTCATATCAAATGTAAGGATTATTATTATTATAAACTCTGAAGCCAGTTTTCTGGCGGTCTTAAAAGAATGTACAGAGAAACAACTCCAAATTGATATCCGTAATTAATAAGTTAATAATAATAATAATCCTTGCATTTGATATAGCGCTTTTCACGTCGGGAGGACGTCCCAAAGCGCTTCACAGAGTACACTATAAAGTGAATTGACTGTATATTTGTGGGCAAACGCGGCAGCCAATTGCGCACAGCAATGTCCCACAAACAGTCGTAGATTGAAAATGACCAATTTATTATTGTTTTGGGTTTTTGGAGGGATTATTATTAGGCTCTGTGTGGAGTAAGGAAACTTGCCCAAGGTTTCGCCCTCTGCCTGGAATTGAACTCAGGTCTCTCACTTGCAAAGCGAGTGCTCTAACCACTGAGCCACAGGACTCCAAATTATGGGCACTCTGAAATGTTATGTTAACAATAAATGTATACCTAGGGGATATTTTACCCATGTACCTTCTTGGTAATCTGAGGTAGTCTTCAGGAACAAAATGAATTGTTTCCATGGTTCGAAAGTAAATATTCTTGGATTTTTTTTAAAATTTCTTAGATGAAAGCAAGCCTCAAAACCTTCAAACCAAAAGAGCATAAGATCCAAGAAGAAAACCTCAAATTTTCAAAAAAGGTATTTCACCAATTTATGTTGTCAACTCTAATTTGTCAGTTGGCATTCCAGAGGTAAGAAAATTTTATCACTGAACCACCAATGCCTCTTCCAAAAAGAGAGTCCTGTTCTATCGTTCCAAAAACAAATAGGTGTTTTAATGCCTTCTCCAAAATATTGCCTGGGTGCTTTCCCTGGTTATAAATATAAGAAAGATATTTGGAATAAATAAATGACGTGGGAGCAGTTTTGAGCTCTGTTGGCTCTGTTCACTGTTGACTCTTGTTCCTGGCAAGAGATAGACATTAAGACACTACAGTGCAGGATGAGCTATCCTGGAGTGCGTTTCATACCTAAATATAGCGACGTGGGTTTTATTGGTGTTATGTTAACAAGAAGCGGGCATACAATAATGCTCTGAATAATTTTATAAGTAATCTTGCAGATATTGGGCATTAGGGGGCTGATCTAGGTGCTGTTTCCAATAAACAATCTGATACAACTATAATGGAGCAAAAATCTGCTTTGTGACAAACGCAAGCAACGCTGATACGGGAGAAACCAGTGGAATCAGGCTTATTGTTGTTAAATCACAGGAGCATTATTGATCTGCTGTCATATATCAAATGCAAGGATTATTATTATTCTATTGGCTTCAAGCCTTTGCAAAAGCTTTGTATTTATTTTCTTTTGTAAAATTTCCTTTTTCTCACACAGATGTTAATGAGGAATGTTAGGCGTGTTCGGAACCTCACTATGGCAGTATGGAACACTGTACAATATATCAACAGCTGCTTTGAGTGGGAATCTGTACAAAGGAGTGTGATAGCCTTTCTGGTAGGTAATGCTATTGGAATCTTAAAATGCATTTAATTGTATGAGGTAGCCAAGGTTTTCTTTTGTTCGGCAATAGAGTGCATATGGAGTACAAGAGCAGTTTTGAGATCTTGCCATTGTACTTTGGTTGTAGACTCCTTATTTGTCTGATGTACATGGTCTCTTGATATAATGCACATTGTCTGTGGCTTGGAATCAATGAAGAAAACACACCGAGCTACTACTATGGTATATAATCTAGTTTTCAGATCTATCCCAAAGGAACTGTAATAGTGTGTTGCACTGGGAATTAACACAGGTTACCCTAGATACAGCAGCATTTTTCCTGGAACCTCACAAGTTTTTACAGACTTCCACTGCAAAACAGGTCACCAGTCTGAATTTCTGCCTTGATATTATGAGTGTCAGGTTTTTCGCCTTTGTTGTTATGCTCCCAGAATAATGTATTTGCAAAGCACCTGCCCTGAAGGAATAAAGGTCTTCTTTAATTTAGAGTTCAGGTGTTAAAAAAAAGCGATGTTTTGATGTTTTTTTAATGTTTTGGCTGTGGTGCTATGGCATGAGTGTGAATACAATACCCATTGTATGGCTCTGGACTGCATGATCTGTGCACTATAGACTTGCACACGTGTGCTCATTGTAAGCCTTGGGCTCAAACAAAGGGAGCCCGTTATTCCAGTTGAGTGTAAATGTTGAATCTTGTATCTTTTTTTCAAAGCTGAGTCAAGCCGTTATCATTCATTATATCAATATAATACTATCAATTCCTTGTCCAATACAGTGAAGCGCTTTGAGACGTCTCAACAATGTGATAAGGGGCAATATCAAATGCAAGGATTATTACTATTATGTTTGTAATTTTTAATGTGACCATTGGTGATGTCAATAGAGACACTTAAAGTATTGCATTATAAAGTAAATAATTGAAAAACTGTGTTTTCAGAACTCAGAAAAAAAAAATAGTAATAAGCTATATTCATATGAACAGCTTATGCCAACATTAAAGAGATCATTTTTTCCATGGCTAATACATCAACAGCATTTAGAATCCAAATTGGATCTTAATGTTTGTCACCAATTTACAGGTTATATTTTCCTTCTATTTTGGTACATTCCTGTAGTTGCTATTCCAGAATGAACAACCTAGTAGTCACCTATAATATATAATTATAAAAGTCTGCATTTGATATAGCGCCTTATCGCATCTTCGAGATGTCTCAAAGCGCTTCATAGAATATACTGTAAAGTGAATTGATTATATATTTTGTGAGCAAAACAAGACCTACCTCCTGGTACTTATCTGTGCTGCCCTTGAGACAGTTGGAAGATGCACTGGCAAGACTGATGATTCTTTCCTTCCTGAGAAAGCATTTCATCTCTGCTGCCAACTTCCTTCAAACAACCAACCTATGAAGGGCTTGGAGTGGAGGGTATCGCATTGATGAATTGGCAGCATACAACTGCATGACAGAACAGAGCTATTAGACCAAAATCAGAGCCAGTCTTCATTGTTAGAGAGCCAGCCAAATACCAAAAGGAGTATTCATATTCGTGCTGAAGAACTGTAGCAAGTTTCTAAGCTGAAGTTGCCAACTTGTGAAATTTTTCTTCTTTAGATTCTGATGATTTAAAAAGAAAATGATGTGTGATTGTACATACCAATAATGAATTAATGAGCAATGGAGCAGTGATGTTCAGTAATGCATTTGCAATAATAGATGGGGGACTGTCATTGTATCCGCTCAGCGGGCTCCGGCCTGCTTCATGACCTCCACCTTGCTTGCCCCACCATCGGCGGGTGGGCCTTCTGCCACTCTGCCTCCATCCTCTGGAACTCCATCCCGTAGTCCCTACATCTCGCCCCCTCCCTTGTCGCCTTCAAGACCCATCTCAAGACCCTCCTGTTTTCGATCTTCCTGCTTCCACCTTTGCCCACCACCCTCTCCTATCGCCAGTTTGGTTCCGTAACTCTGTCTTCCAACGCCTTGGGACGTCCTCCCGAAGTGAAATGCATTTTACAAATGTAATTTTGTTCTTGTCCTGTAGGGAGTCCTGTAGCTCAGTGGTTAGAGCACTCGCTTTGCAAGCGAGAGACCTGAGTTCAATTCCAGGCAGGGCGAAACCTTGGGCAAGTTTCCTTACTCCACACGCCTAATAATAATCCCTTCAAAAACCAAAAACAATAATTAATTGGTCATTTTCAATCTACGACTGTTTGTGGGACATTGCTGTGCGCAATTGGCTGCCGCGTTCGCCCACAAATATACAGTCAATTCACTTTGCAGTATGTTCTGTGAAGCGCTTTGGGACGTCCTCCCGACGTGAAAAGCGCTATATTAAATGCAAGGATTATTATTATTATTATTGTTGTTCAGTTGATTTTTTTTTACAGTCTTTAAATGCTACAGACCACTTGTTTCAGCGTGCGACAGTGGGCGATTATTCCACAAAGTGCTGTCTCATGGGTTGAACAGAGTGCTCCATAGTGCAACAGTGGTTATGTGTCTTTTGTAGAAAAAGGAAACAATTTAACGCCCTGTGAAAAGATTGCTGAAGGCAGATTGGATATAAACTTACAGAATGCCTTCAGTCAGACAAAATAGCGTCTAGAAAGTTGGTATGAAATAAGCCATACATTTTAGGGCATCATAAGCAACCTTTTTGGTCCAATTTGTTCTGTTTAGGCAAAGAGAGGGAAGACATTAAGGGCGCAAAGATCCACCAAGGCTGCATTATGTTTCATGCAATTGACCATTTTTGTCTTGTAGATTAACACCTGTATGTATCGTGATTCACAGCCACGCAGTTCTGTTGTATGTCTTCACAATGTAGCATTGTGTAGCATTTTCATCCAGTAACAATTGTGCAGCACTCAACTTTCTAACAATATCCATCCAATTCACAGCCTTCCCCGACACGACTGACCCCTCTCTCTGCATGCCCCAGTGCACTATTTATCCAGCTTTTAAAAGAGAGAGGGGAAAAAAATCAGCGTTTTTGTGAGGTAACCTGTGGGGTGGGCAGTAGATCAGAAAATGAAGTGTACTAACATTGATGTTAATTGAGCATTGCAGCATTAAGTTACGGTGTCAGAAGACTGATATCTTGTGTGAACCATAGCTCCCTCCAAAGAACTCACCTTACACCCAGATTTCCAGGTAATTTGATGTTGTCGGCATGGTGCCCAAGGTTTGATTGTCGTTTAGCTCTGAAGCTGTCATTTTTATTAGTCGTGCACACAAATCTTTTAGAGACGCTCGTCAGGTGGCTTGTGTTTTGTATTGTCTAGTTGGCTCCTGGTGAAAGCTCCCTCTTTTCATGCATTTGGATGTGGGCGTGTGTGATGTGGGTAGGATGTAATTATACTCACTGCAGGTGACAGTTACAAGAAAAGCTTTAGCAATAATTTAACCGAGTGATGGAAAACTTCGAACAAAAACACACCTTGTGGTCTCAAAAAAAAATGCTTTTCTTCAATTCATGGTTTGGTATAATGTGATTTTAATGCCTCTTTCTCAATTGACCTGTTTTGCATTTTTTAATATAAAATGAGTTATACACTGTGCATTCTGTGGGTTCCTCTGCAGATTGTAATCTTCTATCTCTATATACAAAATGGTGTAATACATTTTCTTCAGCGAGTAGTTTTACACACTCAAAAGCCATCATTTGGGCACAAATCCCGCTCCACCCACAGTGCCCAGCGCTTCCACTTGCACTTGGGTGATCCCAACAGGATTATTCGTTTTGATTTAATCCACTTGGAGGAAAATGTTCATTGCTATTTCAGCTTGGTTCAGTTGGGCTCAGGTACGTTTAATACATTGGTGTCTGATGCATTTATGGTAGCCACGGCTCGGATTGCCACAAATATTAAAATGCAGTGATTTTTACTGTGCAATGCAAAATATCGTGTCATTGTAGTGCAGTTGAGTAATGTACAATTTGTTTTGCGGTGTTTGCTGCTTGTACACAATGAGAAAATAGCTTACTATTGGAATGTTTTTTATTATTCATCAATAATATTATTCATCTGGAAGTATACAGCAGGGGCCACATAGACGTAATCTTCAGATGTAACCTTGAAAATGCGATATTTTAAGACTTGAGTTGGAGATTTTTAGAGTGTACTCAGTTGTGGTTATCGTATGTACCATTCATGTTAATTTAATTTTCACTAAAAAAATAATGTGCGCAATTGGCTGCCGTGTTTTACGCACAAATATACAGGCAATTCACTTTACAGTATATTCTGTGAAGTGCTTGGAGATGTCTAGAAGATGTGAAGAGTGCTATATCAAATGCAAGAATTATTACTATTATCAAAACGCAATCAATTAAGCAGTCTTGTACAGTCCTAATCATATCAGGCAAAATACTTTACAATTGGCATTTAGAATTTTCCACAAAAACAAAATCCTGTTTGCAGGAATTCTGTAATAATGTATTGTGTGCTTTTGATAGCGAGTGGCAAATATTCAGTGCAGAGAGCTGAGGGTGGGGAAGGGAACTGTATTTAATTAAAGCTGCACATAATGCAAGACTATTGCAAAAATGTAAGCATTTTTGTAAAAGTTAGTTTCACTTAATTTGGAAAAGATTGGATTTCTAAAGTGCTTGAAGTGAAATTATGCAACAGATTGACAACGTAGATTCTGCAGAACAAGTCTGTTCTACAGTCAAAGTAAATAAAGAATTAAGTGGGTTGTTTTACATGTAGTGTACGGATATACCAAACAAGAATCTAATTTTACTTGTAAATCTGGCGTTTGACACCCTTTGTTTTATGACTGCGCAACTCTTAATTTGTTGTTTGACAGTTGATCAAACCTAAATGGGTTTGGAGAATTGTTAGCCAAAGCCAGAAAACCACAATCCCCTCTCAGATGTCCCAACTTCGTCCGTGTACAGTTACTGCGAGCACATGTGCGACCATATGCTGCTGTTTTTCCCTCACCGCATTGAATTGGAGGAAATGAATGATCTGCCCTTTCGCTTGT